TAAAAATCTGTTTTCCAATTTTCTTGCTTTAAAAAGAGACATTACAGTATTCATTTGCGATTGATTAAAATAGGAGGTTTTTTAAAGAAAGAAGACGTTACTTAGAATTCAAGACGGAAATTTGTATTAAAAATACAGATTTGTAATATTATCCGAATCGATAACGATCGAGGAAGAAGGACCACTTGAATTTCTGAGAAACTACAATATAAAGTAAAAGTGTTTTCACTTTCCGTTGTGGGTGGGCACATTGTAAGTTGTTTAATACATTGTACAAATTTTTAACATGTTATATAAATAGCACAACATAAAATAACGCTTGAACTTTTTAATATCATTTATTTTACTCTTTTATAGAAAACTATATGTAGAGAATCCAGCCTTCATTCACGGATTACCTCCCGCCGGTTCATCGTACCGAATTGAAACAGTCAAATATCTTAGCAAAAACCAAACTTTAATCACACTTGATCGTGTATGGTAGAAACTCAATCCTGTGCAGTTAACGAGATTCTTCTTATCCATCCTTGCCCACTCTCGAACTCTACCGCTTTCCTCTCTTCACTCACTCTATCGTCCTCCCACCTCTATTCTGATTCTCCTTCCATTCTCCCATTCTCGTTTCTTTCTCCGTTTTCCCGCTTTTTCTCCCCTTTTTTATGACTCTTTCTCTAACCTTGTTTGTTACTTTTTCCCTTTTTTACAACTCTTTGTCTACCCTTGTTTATTACTTTCACGACTGCCTGTAAAGTGGTAGGATATGTGCCGACAAGACCGCAGTTGGGGGAGGAGTAGATCCAATATCACTACACTATATTTTATAATTTCCGATTATCAGTTTTCCGTGCGTAAAATATAATTAGTATTCTAAGGATTAAAACATTTCTTCTTATTATTTTTTNTAATAAATATGTTAGTCATTCCACGAAAATTTGGAACTCCAAATAGTGGCCATGTGACTCACTTTCATATTTATCACCAATTTTTAATCTCTCCACATCCAAGACTAAATAATATTAGAATTAATTTAATAAAATTTATTTTATATTGTCCTAACTTACTAAATATATTTTTACTTTACATTATTTAGTTATTTAAGAGAATTTAATACAATAAATTTTTTAATAATACTTTAACTTTGTTTTCATTATCTAATATCCTTGCTGCATCCTGTTTTCAATATATATTTTTTATTTTTTAGAATTCAGCTTTGTCAATGTTTATTCCTTAGTTTTAATATTATTCATTACATTTCCGCTCTTCTGTATTCAAATTTTTATATTTTGAACCGAAAAATATACATAATCGAATCTCCAATGACGGCAACCATTTTTTGTTTTCTCATATAAGACTGCATTATATATATATACTGTACAGTACATTTATATATAACTTACAACTAGATCAATAGTTTATCAAATGAAGTTATGTCTGAGATATTGGATGGAGTAGTAATTCGATATTTTTCATAAATTTTCTGAATGAACGTCATCCAGTTCGACGAAGATCGAACGGATAGGATTTTGTATTTTGTTATATTGCTTAAGAGAAATAGATAAAATTTATTGGATGTTTTCTTTTTATCAATAAGTCTTGATACAAAAGTGAAAAGAAAGAAATATAATTAGTCAACGTGTTAAATAACGCAAAGATATTTTAATATTCTCTTATATTATTAAAATTAATATTAACTTATACGTCATTATAGTATCATTATTGTTGTTAGTACGGACGAACTTGGGCCTAGGCAAACTTGGCAATTGTCTAGGACCCAGATCTGATTGGTGTACCGTAAATCGATTTGTAAATTCACACAAATACCCTAGTAACGTTCACAGTTACTCCAGAAGATCTAGTGGTAAACAACAAATAACGGGTCAAAAACTTCTATGAATTTTTCGGGGGTGATCCGTCCCGGATATATCGGTCCCTGTTTGTCACCACCCGGCCGCCCAGTTGTGATTCTGGCAAAAATAAAAAAGTCTTCTTAGTGCCCATAGGGAAGAAAGAATAAAAACTAAATAAAATAAAGTAGGGCTAAGAAAATTTCCGAAATTTTCTTAATTTGGTATTAGTTGTTAGCATATATGCTCATAGTTTTGTAATTACATTCATTGATGCAGTCAAGATAGGTTAACGGACTAAAGACTAAAAAAAAAGTTAAAAAATTAAAATTGAATTTTTTTTTCATATCAGTTTTAATTTAAATATAATACCGATACAAATGTTTATTGTTTAAAAGTATTTTTTTATTTGGAAAACGTTTGTGTTAAAAATATAAGAACAAGATTACTGTAATTCAATGGAGTATCCAGATATCACCGCAAAGAGGCATCGGGAATATATTTATTTCATTTTTTAAAACTCTTTCTGCCCTATAGGAACTAAAATGCCGTTGTTCCAGGCCTATTATTTGTTCGGCCAGACCCGTAATGAATGCGAACGGTTAGTGAGGGACGGGGCCCAACATATCCGGAACAGACCGCCCACGAAAAATTCCTGGGTTCGCCACCCGGATTCGATCCCCAGGCCATCCCGTTTCTTCCAATTAAAAATTTGGTTAAGGATAGGCATATCCCCCTCTGCTCCCCCTTAGACACCTTTGCCGTGATTTATTTATTAGCCTCTATCAAATTTAATTCCCAGCTACGCTACTGAATATGCTACATTTTCTATAAATGTATTCTGAATGTATTTTAGTGAATATTAACTTACCTTTCGAATATTCATTTTATTCAAGGAGACTATACATAAAAATAGGACGACCTAAAATCACCTTGAAGTAAACGAATATCAATGTTAACGAGTATATATTTACATAAAAGTATCTCGTGAGTAAACTTTTATGAAAATTTATAGAAAGTAAAAACATGTAATTATATTTTCGTACATTATATTTCTAGAAACATACATTATACAATGTATTAGTCTCTAAGCTATAGAGCTAATTTATGCTTTACTGTAGGAAAAAAATATTATTTAAACAAATAAATGTAACACGATACTTGAATTATTAGATAAATCTACAGGACCACGTGAAGAAACATTATTTATAAAATCTCACATCCTGACACACCCAAGTGGTATGTCCTTTTTCACATGTACAGTACAATATTTTATAGACTTAGCTTTAACTTGTATCTTATTCTGTCCACATCTTTAATTATCATTCACTAAACCTTTTATGTTTCCTTTTGGAACAATAATCTAGTATTTAATTTCTTTATTCTAGATTTTTTCTCTTCAGAATATTTATTTTGAGTATTAAATGATTTAAAATTTTTAATATCTTCATAAGTATTTTACATGATCATTTAATTTTTTTTATTAATATTATTAACTTTTATGTATATAAAATATTAATCTTATAGACAGAATTATTAAAATATTTTCTAACATTTAAGTCTATTCTCAAGTCTGCATGAAAAGGAAATATGTCAGCTTATATCACTCTTACTTATTCATTTATTAATAATATTTAAAAAATTTTTTAAACTTATAATTTTTATGATGATAAAACATTTAGTCACTATAGGCTTATACTTTTAAAATTTCGAAATACAAATAAGAGAAAATATTTATATATTAGTAGAAAATAAGATTAGAAATTGTAATTTATTATTTCCTTTAAAAATATGTTAACTCTTTAATAAATATGTTAGTCATTCCACGAAAATTTGGAACTCCAAATAGTGGCCATGTGACTCACTTTCATATTTATCACCAATTTTTAATCTCTCCACATCCAAGACTAAATAATATTAGAATTAATTTAATAAAATTTATTTTATATTGTCCTAACTTACTAAATATATTTTTACTTTACATTATTTAGTTATTTAAGAGAATTTAATACAATAAATTTTTTAATAATACTTTAACTTTGTTTTCATTATCTAATATCCTTGCTGCATCCTGTTTTCAATATATATTTTTTATTTTTTAGAATTCAGCTTTGTCAATGTTTATTCCTTAGTTTTAATATTATTCATTACATTTCCGCTCTTCTGTATTCAAATTTTTATATTTTGAACCGAAAAATATACATAATCGAATCTCCAATGACGGCAACCATTTTTTGTTTTCTCGTCAGTGGTCGTTATTCGGAGGTTTAACTGTATATATTTTTATATTTAGAGATAAATATTGAATATATTTAAAATAAAATATTTTATATTATTAAAAAAAATGGAAAATAATTTTATTTTAAAATGTATTGCTACTTAATGGATGTGATGATTATCGCAATTTTTACTAAAATCGATGAGTTTTTTCCTCTCTTATCTAAATATAGGAACTGTCTTACATAATATACATTTTCCGTTGAAGTAGAATACAAATCATTCATTCATTTTTAAATTAAATTTGATATTTAACTAACTTATAAATGAATTTTGATATCTTGACAATTTCGAAATATGAAGAGACTTTTATTTCTTAGAATAAACAAAAAATTCTAACATTTAACCGAACTCGCCGATATCGTCCAATATACTTAAGATCTAATTACTTTTTTAAAATTACAATAAACGGAAACTCGACTTTTATTTAATCGCGCCCCACCCCCGAATCGTGTGAACAAAGAATAGAAATATATTTTTCTACAAATAAACAGTAAAATCTAAAAAAAAAATATTTAAATGAGTGTATTTTATTTGAAAATTAAAACTTTATCAATTGATAAATATTTATCAATTATTGAATAATCCAGGAGGATTATTCAATAATTGATTAACTTACAAATTAATTTTTTTAATGTAATTTTGATTGAATCACACTTATATAGCGAAAGACTAAAGTAGTTTTGTCATAATCCCATTAGTGATTACTACAGCTTATCGGCAATACCACTAAAGTGGATTAAATTAAAGTTTAATGATTGGTTTTCCTCCACGCATACCAACGAAAATACTTGTAACTTAATTAATGTTTTATATAAGAATTTATTCGATAAAATTACGGATTATTATTAGATAAATTCAAAAAAATAAAACTCAGAAAACAGGTATATAACATCTTTATTATATAATTTTTCAGTGGCAATTGGTCGATGTGCAAATAAATAAACTGTAAGACTGACTAGAATTTTAGTACAAATTGCATTACACAAACATTAAAACATTTACAAAACAAAGAGCTTTCCTAAACGATTAGATTTCGGTATTTCGTGACTGAACTATCTTGGAAAAATATAAAGTACCAGATTTATATTCTAGTTCACGATGGTCCCGGGCAACTGACAAAACACTTCTTAAGTTTCTAATGTGATAAAAAGCTATCTATACATGTATATATAAATATAAATAGTATATTTATGTATACACATATACTATATATATATATTTGTTACATAATATTAAATATTCAGAAATTCTCAGAGGAAGCCTATACAATTGCTTCTAAAAATAATTATGAGATTATATTACGATGAAAGTTTGAAGTCATTAATCTGGACGTTAGAAATATACTTTTCACCAGAAATTATTTATTGTGTTGGTCCACTTTGATTTTTTAATAGTATTTTTTGTACTCTGTAAGAGATGATAAAGAAATATGAAGTTTTTATATGTGTATGGTACAGTATGACTAGGTCGATTAACATCTCTTTCTTTATACACGACTAGTTTAGGGAGGTGTAGAACTCCAATAAAAACTTTACTGTTAAGAGTCTAAGTGTTAGTTCCGCATTAAGTACCGAAAAAAAATGATGAATATTGTTATTATTGGAACCCTGTTGTTAAGAAACTTTGATTTTTTCCCCCTCTTTTACTCCTCCTTTTCAAATACAAATGTGAGATGGTGTTGACGTCATGGTAAAATCAAAGACATTCTGTTGGGCACCCAGAGATGGAGTGAGAGAATCTGCATCTGGTGTAGTTGCCACTATCGCCACTAGTGGTGATCTGGGAGATGGAGTGGGTTTACAGCGTGATGATGGCGCGAATACTTGAGATTCGAATGATAATAATTGTCCCATGAAATTGAAATTTGGTGAAACGATTCGTCTTTTAGACTTAACATATTCGTAAGCTTCATCCATACGAATCCTTTTGGTAGCCATGATGTACGCCATACAAATAGTTGCCGATCTGCTTATTCCGGCGTGACAGTGAACGAGGATTTTGCCATTTTCCGATTTAATGCGTTCTGCGGGAGAAAAAGGAAAAAAAAATTATTTTTTAATGTTTAAAGTCGTTTAAATTTCTATATTTGGATATATAAAAAATATATCAATACACACATAATAAGTTATAAATTCGGATTTTTTTTTAAATAATAGCTTAATAGGCTACTATACTTTAACACAAATTTAATTTACATTAACTTGTAATTTACGTCATATTTTGTAAAAATTAACTAATGTATGTCATACTCGTTTCGTGTTGAATGAATAGGATAATAGGGCGCTTAATGAAATTACAATTACTCAAAAAATATTTTACTAATAAGTAAGATCCGTTAGAAAATGTCATTTTCCCACTAAACTAAAAGTCATGTGACATCCTTTTTAATTACCACATTCTTTCTCCTTTTACTAACCTCACACTTCCGACACCAACACAATTTCCTGCTGTAAATTCCACAGATTTCCGACCGGAAATTCTTGTTTGCGACCCTCTCTTTTTTCCAATTTCACTCCATATCATTTCCACGCGTGTCTTTCCTCATTTAAGCTATCGGTAACAACTGTGTTCCCATTACTGCAGTAATCTAAACGTACACACACGCTCCATATGTACGCCACGTGCGGTTGCCCGTCCCGTTACACACGTGCCGATTTAGAGTTTTCCTCGTCATGGATAGACGGAATCGTGGCACGCTAGACCGGAAAACCAGACCGGAAATCAGGGAGAGGGTCGCACGAAGTGTTGCTTCGACGCCTAATCAGCGCGTCACATATCACTTCCGACGTGAGCCACGTGGCAGGACAGCTGGGTGAGACCGGAAGAACCGTCAGTTACTTTAGTTTGTTTTGAATATAAAAACGGCTTAAACCGTTTGAGAAACAAACTCGCACAACGGTTTAAACTGTTATAAATTGATTGTGACGTATGAGTATTTAGCCTATACGCAGTTTGTGTTGGAATTAAATTTTATTAACGCTGCATGAAACTGTTTATAATTATTTTATTAAAAAATAAATTATGTAATGCTATCAAATATATCAAAGGAAGTTACATCGTTTTTTTTTAATTTTGATATATCATAATTCAAAACTTTAAAAGTTAAATCCGAAAATATGTCATAGGAAGAGTTTTTATAATCTCTCTTTTTTACTTAATCTTTTAAGTAAAATATATAAATTATTGCAAGATTACATAGTTTATTTCAAGCAATTTATATATTACATTTCATAAATATCCGTGAGATTTATTATAATCTACGTATAATAAAGAATTATAATTAAGCCTATGCGAAAATATTGTAACTCACTTATTTGGGCTTATAAAAGGCTTATAAAGCGAATTCGTTTAGTTTAATTTTGGTGTTTTATTCTGTAAAAACATTGTCTTTTTAAATTTGTGGGTTTTTTAGGCTCTTATATTTTCGATCGCAATTTCACAATATTTTGAAAGGCTTCTTTAATGTATTTTTCGCTATTGTATCTGACTTATTTATTAAAGTAAGAAGTAACAGTGCCGAATAGATGACATTCGTCGCTTTAATATAAAATATACTGCATTTATACACCATATTCTATTGAATATCATCAACATATATGACTAAGAAACGAAATTAAAAATATGAAAAGCCCCAAATTTAAAACTTGATTGAGGTTTCTTAGTGTTGATAAGAAGATACGAATTTTGTGTCCCAAACCCCCACAATAACACTCGCTTCAGACGAACTACGTATCGAATCGAGTTAGTGTTTTTATCCCTTTTGCCGCACCTCCTAAGTCGGTTTATCCCTAGTAATAAATAGATAATGGGCATCCTTTCCCACTTCACAACGGTCAAGCAGGAACTCGAAGTCGGAAATTGTTTTGTGCAACGGTCGTTGATCTGTTATAAGGGCTCCGACGGACAAACAACATCCGGGGATATTAATAACGATCAGATCTGGTGATACGTATCGCCTGTTCATCCTATTTCCCTCCAAATGAAATATTAGATCCGAAACGGATGTTCCCACGTCAGTTTTTACTCGTCCCATTGTCTGTTTCCTGTTACGTTAGCACCTTTTTTAGTAATTTAACTCATTTTTTATTGTTTTATAATTCGAGAAACCTACCTATGAAATCGATAGCTTCGTTGAACCAAATGGCAATATCTTCGTTTCCCGAATCCTCTACCGGAATCGATTTGTAAATAAACGAATCTTCGAAACGATTGGGACAATTCTGTGATACATTTAGTAACGACGTAATACCCAATCTCTGTAACGTCTCCTTGCAAGATGCGTGATATTCGCTTCCCAAATACAGATACGGTAGAATTTCTACTGGCTCTTCTTGGTCTTGGTTAGGACAAGGAGCACTTAATCTACCGTTTAGAGCATTGGTCAACATGGATGGACTGATCATCCCATTGGATGGAATCGGCGTTAACGGTTTTGTGCATAGATGAGGGTAAGACTGGCTGAATTGTTGGTAACCACCTACAAACAATTTTTTTTAATATTAGTTATAAAGATTAAGATTTAATATTTAATTATTAATAAGAACAGTAATTAAGATAAACTATCAAAGTAATACTAAAATTTAAAACTCATTACGTCATAAAAATCGTGTGTTGAAGTTTCATTTGATAATGGAAACTGGGACAAGCATTGCTTCCAATAGCAACTGTAACTGAGTTTATGCCATTTTTATATAATAAACTCACTAAATTTCTTATAATATAAATTCTAAACATTTAAAATTATAATCGTAGTATTACACTTGTACAATTATTAACATAATTAATATACAGTCAATTATAATATTAGTCTATATATATGTATAAGGCATAAAAATATTTTAAAATAAATATTGTCATTTAATGCATCAAGAATAAGAAAATTCTAAAAATTGAATTTATTTCCTTTTTCTACACGAAAATACACTTTAACTTAAGAACCAAACTTCCAAATTAAATCTTTAAATATATATTGAACTACGATTGAATCATTCATGCCAGACATAACAAATATTATCACTAATACTTCGATCGGAACTATTTTTAAGAAAGAATCGATCGCAATCGATTATATTACATCTATTCATAAGAATTTAATATAGAATAGGATGGTGAAAATAAGTAATATTTTGCGTTGATAGCTGAAGGTACAATACCCTTCGCCGTCCAAATGAGGAAATGTTTCCTCCTTCCTCTTTTATCTATAGAGATTTATTGGAGTCAACTTACAACCGTATTATAGAAGGGTCGATGTCCTGTAACCCCTGCACTATTCACTTCCTTCTCGGTTTCCTACATTTCATTCTAGGTTAAAATCTTCCTTTAGGGAAGTACAAGACTATGTTGTGCATTCTCCAGGCGGAATAAGACGAGGTGCGATGTATGAATGAAAATGGAAGGAAGTCAATGAATGACCGTACTACTTCCTGATGCAGAACATTTATATTGTCTTCATGCACCATGAATGAGGATTTCAAACGATTATGTTACTTGTAAGGTAAACGAACTTTTCTAGATAACCTACATAAGAATAAAATCGACTCTATTTATGAAAGAAATCAAAAATGAAGTTATTATAATTGAAACGAAGTTTATATCCGCCTATTACAGTAGTAAAATCCGGAAGATAATATAGGAAATTCGGAAGTTTATGTATGAAATGAAGAACGTGACGAAGCGTGAAAGCAATTTGTGACGTCACACGAAGACACCCATTTAACATGCACACGGTGACCTTGAGGAGGTAATGTTAACGTAATTTCCGGCTGAAAAATTATCAACGGAAGTGTAATTGTGTATTTCATTATTATTAAGTTATTGAATGGTTTAGCGCATGCTACCAAATTCCGAAGAGAATAGAGGGGATTAATAATTTAATTTTTATTAATCTATAATGCTATCGTGGACATCGAGAATTATGTATATAACTGAACAACACTTAAATTAAGATATATTTAATTAAAATTAATTGTGTTATGTAATCCAAGATAGTATTAACTCAATATTATGTAAGGAAAAAGAATATGGCGTCATTATAAACTATAGCTTTTCTTTTTCATTATGAGATACAACTGATTTCAAGTTAACATTGTATAATTGCTAATTTTTACTTTCAACAAGCTAAAACTCCTGGTGAGAGAGAGAGAATTTGCTTGAATGTAGGCAGTTGTTTTACAATACAGCCACATTATTTGACTCAGCAGGCCATAAGGATCATAAAATTGATTACGACAACGAACGTTTAAAAAGTTTCCCAATCTTTCTTACGTAAATGAAAAAATAACTCGGTGCCCATACACATTTCCTTGTAAAATATGATCAACAAACGCAAAAATACCATTCCACGTACTGTCTGGAATTAAATAGAAATTAAATGACATACACATTAACTTTAACTTAAAAACCAATTTAGTAACTTCAGTTTTATAATATTTTATTAATTCCAAGATTCTACTTTAAGTAACATAGTCAATTATAATGAGAAGTTTATCATTAAAGGAAGTGCTTAAAAAATAAGTAGATCATTAATAAATACAACATATCGATTGGTTTAAGGACAAGCAAATCGAGGTTGATCTCTCTGAATTTATTACCTTGGCCTTTATGATTGTACTAGCCTAATAGAAATTATGTAAAAAAAGTAGATATGAACCGAATTCTATCATGTTTCTCTCGTTCTACTTGCTTTAAAAAATGTTTATCTTTAGGAAATCTGTATCCAATATAAAAATGTTCAGGTAATTCCAGTTTTACACTCTAGTTTAATATTTAATGGAGAAATATATAAATATTTATAAATCATCTCATTATAGTGTATTAGATAAAACCTGTTTGGAAAACACTTTTTTTGATGTTACTGAATCGATTCGATAATCATAAACATTCGTTACAAACGTGTACGGTAATAAATACCAGATAACATGTCACGCATATGCACGAAAAAGGAAAAATAACATTCGAAAATTGGCGTCTAACGACACGCGGCTCCTTTTCTGAATGAACTGCCTCCCACTCTGGCTACCTACTACCCCTTATTTGAGTTGGATGAACTCACCCACGCTCGTCATCTCCATAAAACATTTAATTCGTTGCTATAAATAGAACACGTATCGACTAACCCAAACGAGTGATAGAAACTTAATAATGCTATTCATCCCTAGAGGACATTGTTACCAATACGAAGGTCGAACTTCAAAAATATCAGAAACTATACGTAACAATTAAAAATGTGTAGGTCGATGGTAAGATATCAAGAACTGAAAGTATAGGCATTAAAAATATCTGAAGGTAATCTAATCTCACAGTAGGCTGTAATGAAATTCGATCTAAATGTTAAAGAATTTGATTTTTTCTGTTATTTCTCATTTTTATTGGATCTAGAATCGCGAATTTACTCTGTACAAGATTTAGTTCCTCTATAAACCCGGAACATCCATCAAATACAATGCCCAGTTATAGAAGTTTCGGAACCCTTGTAATATGACACTTTGGCTTTTGAAACACTCATTCTTCTGACATACATACTTCATTTCGGTTTCAAAACATCGGAAGTTGCTCAACCAACGTCGTGAGCATCGCGTCACATCCGGTTCATCGGGCAGCTGTCCCACATCCGTTGGAGAGAGTTGTTCCGGTTAAGGGACATCACGAGGTCACAACACGTGATTATTCGCTCGAAATTATTTCGTCACGTGTTTTTAAAATTTTATTCATTCACTGTATCATAGGTTTATACATTTGAATGTCATTCGGTGAGACAGATAATAAGCAATGCGCGTGACGTCATGAGGACAATAACGTCAACGTTTTGTGGTGAATGAATTTTCCGTTGACGTCCTAAGAAATAATTCAACGATTAGGTCAAGATCATTCTATATAATTAATTAAATATTTACAATGAGTAAGAAAAAAATAAAATTCTGCCAGACAAATAGAAAATGATTGCGGCAATAGTAAAAGATATCGATTCAATGAGTCCTATTGCACACGACAGACTTACTACGGCGTACACGTGCTGATTCATTCTTCAGACGAACCCTATAATGAAATAGGGGACTCATTCATAAATTGTCTGCAGACGTAGGGAATATGAACAGCGAGTAAAGCAGAAACTAACGGTTCTAACAGCTGTTATCACTCCCCTTTTCTATACACCGTTTAAATATTTACCTCGACACATCAGATACAAATGTAAGTTAAGATTTATCATTTGATTAGCGACACTCGTAAACTAAGAATATTGATTCTTTTCAACAACAGTACGAGAATAGTAGAACAATGAATAGGTTTCTTTCCGACTGACCTTTCACATCATTCATTGTTACTTTTGAGTCGAAAAAGGAAATACTTGGCCGTTCCCGTTTTTCCTTCATCCACTTATATTATATGGGTTAGGCAGAATCGTCTAAGGACTTGATAGTCTCCTTTTGTCAGAAACGTGCCTCCTACGCCTTACTCTCAATGAATGAAAGAATGAATAGAAAAATAGGAGTTTTTGTTACGCTCCACTTGGCATCCGTAATCACTCTAAAATTATTATGAAACGAGTCAAAGTTCAAAATGAAATACGTACTTGACATACTAAGCTACCTCACGAAAGTTAGGAATTATACCGTAAACCTATTTAATTAGAACTACTTCAACTATCAATGGTATCATTCAACTTGTGCGTTTTCCTTTATATATATATAAATTTTAAATAGACTTGCGTCACTTTAAATAATAAATAATAGATTTATTTTTTATCATTTTATTTGTGTTACATATTGATTCTTTCACGATAACAAAAGTTCATAAATTTTCAATATCGACATACGACGAACAATATAAATCCATATCTTATAAGTAAATAATGATATGATAAAACAATGACTATCAATATTTGATAAGTCCCCTATATAAAAGTTATGTTCACAAAAAGATTTTAAAAATTACAAAATATCTAGATAATATTCGATTATCTTTTCGAATGAATGGAAGTTAAACACATTCAAGTTTTTGACATAGAAAATGAGGCCATATTCCGTACTGAATCCAATAAAGTGGACGACATCAAGATTGTCACCGTCAGCATTTTTATCAAACAAAAAGATATGAGATTAATGACTATATCCATTGTCACGAATGAATCAAGTAAATGTAACAAAATATAATAAAAGAATAGAAGTTTTTTCAATTTCTATTCATTTAAAAATTATATACAACTGTATTAAAAGTTAGGAAAGAAGGAAAGGCTTCTATTTTGTGTATATATATGTACGGGATTTCACAATTTGGAAAGGTGGAAAAGTAATTATTTAGAACAACATAAATATAAATATAATTTAAACAGCTGGAAAAATTTAATTTTATTATTTTTATAAAGGTCTTTCACATTTTAAAAATGTTTTAAGAGTCGAAAATAAAAACAGTCGCGTAGCAACAATATACAGTGTGACTAAACATTTAGCGTGTTATTAAATTTCACACACATACATATATAAATGTAATGTTATAATTTTAAAATATCAATTTTGAAATACTGAAATCAATTAGAATTTACATTTTTTAAATTATTCTAAGTATTTAATTCACAAGATTTAATATGAAGATGACGAAGAATTTACCCTATCAATTATTATTAATGATAATAAATTAAAGTACAGTTGGATTAGTATTAAGGTAGAACAATTTATAATAAATTACATTTTAAAATTGAACTGAAAAAAAAGGAATATTAAATTAAAATGTGTGTATTTTTATCATCTCGTGAATTTTATATTTCGTAAAGTTTCCTCTTACATTAAATGAACTTTCGCAACACGAATTTTCACAAACTATTTCCTGTCGGAATTAAAAATTCTTTAAACAATCATTTACACTAATAAATTAGATTAATTGAGTAATCATTTAAAAATTAAAAGGACTTATTATATTAAATTTAAGAATAACGATTACGTTACATACCTTCTAAAACCAAAACGGTCCTACCAATTTCGTTCTTCAAACATTTCGCTACGAAGCTGGTCATAGTATCGTCGTGAATGGGACGAGAATGCTCTTCGTATAATATAATCGTCCTGTGTACATTTGTCAAAATTAAATCCCGCACTCTGGCATCGGAGATCAACGTACTTAACGGTAACGTACCGCCAGACCTCCTCCTCAAGATAGAAGGGCAGTGAATGTTTAGGGAATCTATAATGTGACCGTCGTTATATGCCAGAAACGATCGACAGTCTAGAATTAATACTTTTAACGAATCTGACGAGTTATCTTCCTCTAAATACTTTCTCAAAATGTCCGCCGAGAGACACATAGTAGTATTGGCCATACCTCTCCTAAATCGACTACGTCTTGGCTCGCTGTATTGGTCGAAGGTAGGCATGTAATCAGTCTATATGATATCGTGACCGTAAACAAATTATTTCGAAAGAAATATTCTCTTTAAAAAATAAATGTCAGTAAGGAGGGCAAACACTAAACTTCCGACACATCGTCGCGTAGTGTAAAATCAATCTGAATGACTGGCGTTATGAATGGAACCTACTTACATATCGTAAACAACGTAATTGATCCGATAAAAAACTTAGTCCCACAATATCGTTAAATTATTTTAAAACTTAACTAATTTGAATCATTAAAACTATTAAATTCTCAATACATTTGATTTCAATTATAAAAAAGTCAAAATCTTGATTATATTAATCTAGTTATATAATATTTTTTAACGGCGGAGGAATAACAGAATATAGTCTACGTCACAGGATTTCCTTGTTTGGTCAACAAATGAGACAGCCAATCACTAACGTCATTCATTTTGACGTAACAATGATTTTATTCGAGAAATGTTTAATATTTTCAATCAATATTAAGGGTGATTTGTTCCATTTTATAATAAAATATACGAAATTTAAAAAATTAAAGTTAAAATTTAAAATAAAATATGCTCGATAATGACCAATCAAGAACAAGCACGTGCTTAACAACGTTGTAGGTGTATTGATCTTTTGATGTGCATGGCAACGTAAGCAAGCATCTTTACTGACTGTTGCTTCGGTTTTATATAAAAAGAAAGTAGATATAGCAAAGTTTGGCTGTATCTATGTTTATATAATTAAAAATCATTATCTAAATTATAATTTAGATTTTTCTGTAGTTTATTATTAATTTATTTTAAAGAAACATGGCATTCGATGTTAGAAGGTAAGTTATGATTAAGCCTCATCAGAAAGATGACAAAAAAAAATATATAAATTTCTTATTTGAATAAATATTTAAACATATACAGACATTTAATGTGTTAACGACACAAAAATACTCAAATCTTTTGAAATTGACATATTTTTGACACGTGTTTAATACTTTACTAATTACAAATCAATTACTACCTCTGAAATAACTGAAAATTCAACTTAATTCATAAACCATAATTTTACATATCTTTAAATAGAATTATTAATTTGGTATATTGTTTTCTATCAATTAAAAGCAAGAATAAATTTAATTGTTGGAACTAAATGTGTATAATCAACCCTTTGTTAACATATTGTAATTTTTTAAAATTTCTTAATGAAAAATAAAATTTGACTTTATATCTTTAATTTAGAAAGGGTAACAGTTTTTATGAATGATAAGTTTAAAATTTTTATTAATTTTCAAATAAGTGCAGAAGTATGCAACACGTCAATTCATACAATAAAAAATAAATGCACAAGTCAGGAGTAACAAACAGTAATAACATGAAATTTAAAGGAAATTTTTTGTTAGAAATGGTAGTTTTCAATACTGTCATTTCAGTATAATTTTATGGAGAATTTAATACGGAAAATTATTTAATGTTTGCAGTAATAAGTGTGTCATGAGTAGTCAACTAGATCAAATCATATATAACTATTAAGATAATTGTTTTTATGTTTATAATAATTTGTAGGAAAAGAGAACTGTTCAATTAAACAAAATACTGTGTACAATTTACAATGTATGAATAGTTATATCATTTCGTTTATGTATTATATTACTTTATGCACATGAAATTATTCAATGGGAAAACTGAAATAGTAATGTATTAATTAACTAATATTACTTAATTAATGTTATTCTAACTGAAGGAAAACAGTTACTAGTTGCCCCAATGAGTCAAAGTAAAATAAAAAAAATTATTATTTTTAGACTTTTTTAATTATGAAATTTATATTGAATATAAAATTTTTATAAGTTTTAAATTAAGATTAAAAATAAATACAAAAATTAATTTTTCAATTATAGTTTTACATTTTAAAATTTTTTGGCAATTTTTGTTTTATAAAAAAGTTCACTGGTTCAATAATTTACTCTTAATAAAGATTAAGAGTAAATTATTGATTTTATTGTGATTTGTTTATACAGCAGTTTCCTTATGACAAGATAGATATACCTACATAAGGATACATTTTAAATTTAATGAATATAATGACTTAAATAAATTTGTAAAATGGCAGTAAATATTTAATAGAAAAATAATTTTATTTTAGATTAAAAAGTTGTTATAATATAAATATAATTTTTAAAATCTTATTACATTTTTACTTCAGCTTTAAAAAACTAAAAATTTTTTTGATACTGTATTATGAAGTATGATACTGTATGTCAGTGGTTTCCAACCTTTTTTCATTAGCGTACCCCGTGACATGTCATATCTCTAGATTGTACCCCTCATTTAAGAAATTTAGTGAGTAACCGTATTGTTAATTTTACATATTGTAACTTTAAATTAAAGAAAAAAAACCTAAAAGAAAAAATGTATAATAAAGTTGTGATTGTTGCAAGGAACATTTTTTATCTAATAATTTTTTAATACTATTAGTTTGTGATACATAATATATTATTTTTTCTGCCATAATAACTAACTTTTTTCTGTACCCCTAAACAACCTATCGCGTACCCCTAGGGGTACGCGTACCACAGGTTGGGAATCGCTG